CAACCCGGGTCCTCATTTTACCCACCTCGGAAGGATGGAAGGCTGAGTCAACCCTGAGCCGGTGAGATTTGAACCGCTGAACTGCTGATCTAGCAGTCAGCTGAAGTAGCCTGCAGTGCTGCATTTAACCACCGCGCCACCTCACCATCACTGTACTATGGCATACAAACTATGGAACAGTACTTAGCTGTGGTCAGAGAAGTAAAATCTGATATGATCTGATAGTACCTGAAGATAAAACAAGTTCCAACAACCAGGTTGTTTAGTAATGTAGATAAGAATTACTGGTGAGTGTCACCAGTAATTTAAAAGTGGACAATTTAAAACAATGCTTAATTATTCCACCACCACATGGACACAGTCTCATGCAAAGATGATCTTTTGATATTTGCATTCAGTTCCCACATTAAATATGTAATTGTATACTCAACTTCCTTGAATGGCGGGGCCGGTGCACACGTTCATGTGTTCAGAGTTCGACTTGCAACAAGTTGAGCTGCATGTGCGTATGCACATGCGCAAGTCGAGCTATGTGCACACCAGCCCGTTGCTCAAGTGGCCTGTTTCCAAATTGGCCATGGCCTGGTTGTGGGCCATGGCCCAGGGGTTAGCGACCCATGGTATAGGATATCGGTTCTCAAAATTTGGCCTGGGGATTCCTCAGAGTGCCTGAGGCCATTTCAGAGAGTCTTCTAATTCAACTAAATAAATATTTTAAAATATATGATTTGTAATTTCTACATTTCTAGATGTATCCCACTTAAAGCAAAGTCTTGGGGGAACTTGGTCTTTTTTAACAACATAAAGGGGTTCTGAGATTAAAAATTTGAGAATCACTGATTTTGGAAATATATTCTTAAGAGTATTAATCTTGCCCGAAGGGGTAACTTTTAAACATGGTTTAAATCTATCAAAATTTAAGATTTAAATCTATCAAAACCTGAAGAGAACTCCTATAATATTAATACCTAAAATAATTACCTATGATACATTAGAAGATGTTAGAACTCCAATATGCTTAATCTACATACCCCAATATGCTCATTCCATACATAAAATTGAGAACTGCTTATTGAATTAATGAAGGGATTTTTAACTACTGACATCACTTCTGATTTGGACCTGTTAATTGAATATCCCGCTGTTTTTCCAAAGCTGGAATGAAAGCATTAAGTATAGACATAAATAATGCAATACTATTTGCATATAATATTAGTTTATAACTTTTAAAGATATATGAAATAACATGTAATATTGAGTAAAGGCATAAAGTGGGCATTTGAAACAAATAGTTAAAAAAAAATGTCAAAGGCTTTTTAACATCCAGTGATATCACTGCACCTTGATGCTCTCTATTCAGAATAGAATTTAAGTTTTCTTGTATGAATTAAGCAAAACCTGCCTGTGTATTTTTGACTACCTAAACAGCAAGAGACTTCCTAATTGTCTCTTGCTGTTTTGTAACCAAAACAATATTGACACTTCATGTGATACATCCTCAAGGTTATTAAATATAGCTTTGAGTAAAATTTGAGAAAGTAAAACTATAGATCTTCAGAGAACCTCCACAGTTTACCTTCTTTATCTTTATTAGCTTTAGTGGTTAGCTTTAGTGGAAACATTTTTTTCTTTTAAAGATTTGCCAAGATTTAACCAGATATTTTACCCTTTTCCCAATACCTTTGACATAATAGTAAAATGTTAAAACATTCTTTTTTATATTTACAGGAAGATATTACTTAGCTCAAATTTGGTTTGCTATATCTCACCATATAAACTATTGATAGGATCTGTAACCATCTTTGCTCAAAGTATTTTCAATTTTTTTATATTAATTTCATGTATTTATTTACTTACTTCATATGCAGTAATATGACTGTGACAATAGTTGTGCTGTTTTAATAAGCAAGAAGTGCTGTGCTCATGGAAAGTCTAAAACACTATTCCAAATCATTTTTGAAGTCTAATTGGTTATGTAAAAAGTGACATACAGCATTTAATAGTATATATGATTTAATAACTTTTTAATACATTATTAACTTATTAAATATGGGTTATTATAAATGTAAAACTGATGTATCTACATAGAGAGGGTTTATTAGCACATCTGGTGAAAATGTATACAATAAATAAATAAACAGACCCTTAACTTTTATTGTAATAAGGATATAGGCTGGCTTGCTTGCTTTCTAAATTTTATGCTATCATTCTGATGCACTTCCAATATCAGATGGGTGATCATTTCCAATTTTAGTATTATAGCAGTATTCTGAAGGAACCTGTATCTTTGTGCCTGTAATGGTGATCCAAAGAAAGAGATGGCTGGTATCAGTGTAATAGCTGTTTCAGCCACTTTTGGTGATGTTATCAATTCATTTCATATATGAGATGTATGTGTGCTATGTCTCCCTCTACTGGTGGATTGTGACACATCCCATTCTAAAAATTCTATAGATTAGAGACTATGCAGCAAGAGAACCTGTATAAAAGATTTATTTAAATAAAAATAACTTTTTTGGGTTCATTAGCCCTTTATTGGGGTTATAAAATTGCAGAACTGGTTAAATCTTTGCAAAGTTCATCCTTTTCTAAAATTATTTATAAATAAGGATAATGTAAAGCTTTTTCCTGTTCATTTTTTTCAGTTTAAATATTATATTGCTATGGAAACAGAAAGCAGGAACCAGAAAAGGGCGTAGTTCTGCTATGGCGGTGTTCATTTTCACAAAGCATTGAATGCTTAAAGAATTTCTTGAAAATATCATTAGATGCTCTTTTTGACATAAAAAATCTATTTTAAAGTTAAATAAGTGTGTGTTTGGTAGCATGCTTCTGTATAGTTGTCAGAAAAATAAGACTTACAAAATATGTTTAGGCATCACTATCAAAGCAATAGTGAAGATGTGTTAGTCCTACACATTTACCACTTAATATGAAATCTATCTGAATATGACTATATATTGTTAACAATAATGTTACTGATTTTTATTTTCAGCTCTGAGGAAAAAATAGTTTAAAATACTCTAAGCAAAGAAATAGACAGACATTAAATGGTGCTCAGTAATTTCCAGTTATTTGTTGCATTATAGCTAATTAACAGGTCTACAGGCGATGCTATCTATTTGACTGAAGAACAGAAGTCTTCTATTTGCTGCTGTTGTTTGAGTGAAGACCTACAGTTTGCTGCATATGGAGATGAAAATGGAATTGTAAAGGTGAACTAACAGGATTTAATTTTTGAATGTGACTTTTGATTTCATTTCATTTCCCAATTATTAGAAACATTATACAAGTCAAAATCTGTAAGAGAATGAATTTGAGAAGAATCTGTTTTAATAATTTTAAGGCAATTGAATATATTTTCCTAATACTGACTACAAGTTTGTAATAATGAGAATATATTTTTCAAGCCACTCATCTTAGAATCACACTCATCTTTCTGATGTTCATTTCACATTTAATTGGTGGGGTTTTGTTTTGTTTTGGGTTTAAGGAAAAAAATAATTTGCCCATCAAGTTTTTCTTCCTAGCATTTGTCCACAACTGCAGGATTTAGGTTTTTCTCTTTTTCAGTTTTAGATTAAGTTAGTGTCAATCCATGTGTTGGGCCAGGAATTGGTAGAGTGGCTTGTTGCCTGAGTCTGACATTGTGGGCTGAAAGAAAGTGACTGGCCCAAAGTCACCCAGCCAACTTTCATGCCTAAGGCCAGAACTAAAGCTTATAGTTTCCTGATTTTTAGCCTAGTGGGTCTAGGTTACACATCTAATATCAGAGCAAAATAATTGGGTGTTTCAGTTGAAGAGGACACATTGTTTTTATAGAAAATTATCCAGTGAAATGTTTATATTTTATGATCTTAATAATCTTGTAATCTAAACTAATATAAGCAGGAGAAAATCTATATGCCTGCAAGATATTGACATGGTATTGATAGTACATCACCATCTGTGAACATCCACCCATCCATCTTTTATTTATTTATCAATCAATCAATCAATCAATCAATCAATGATGCATATTGAATTCTTCACAACATGCTATTGCCTGATGATCTCATTTCAACAGGTTTTAAATGTATCAGATAGGAGTGTTTTAAAATCCAGATTTGGACACAGGAAAGCTGTACAGCACTGCCAATTTACTTCTGATGGGAAAACTCTTATTTCAAGCTCCGATGATTCAACTATACAGGTACAGGAATGCTGCAAGTTTTATTTAGGAACTGACTATTGCTCAAAATTTGGCAGGTAGTCCTTCAAATTATACTTTTTCTGAAATTGTTTCAGTTTGTTATAAAATATATATTTATATAAGTTAGTTTATCTATTCTACATTTTTAATTTTATGTCATTTCAGAAGGATTGTATTGAAAAAAGTGAAAAACTGTTGAATAGGAAAAATAGGAAAAATGATAGCTTACAAGTTATAAATGTTTCTCAACTTTTATAGTTGTAATTGGATTGTTAAGGGAGATACATACAAATTTAAATCCTGTTTTATTACTGGAATATGCATATACTTTGTGTATCATTATATTGCTAGTTATGTGCAGATTAAAAAGGTAAGAAACTTGCAGTACGATCAAATACTTTAAGGAACCTTATAGGCAGAACTTGCATGCAATAGTGCTCTCTAGTTCATATTTCTGAAAAACTAACATTCAGAGAAAACTGATTTTGGAGATTGCCATGAAATTATTCATATTATCTTATCCATGTGCTTTTTTAAACCAAAACATTTTGAGCATTCTAGTAATAATTTACTCATAATAAAATAAACATTGCATTTTAATATTTTGCAGTATTTCATTAGGCAAAAGAATTTGTACATTGTAAAGTATGTCAGGAATGAATATATGCTATTTATCACAGATGATAAATATTCCTCAAGAGAATAGAATTATTCCCATGGTGCCACCCAAGTTGTATTTTGTTTTTATTTATTTATTTGTATCCTGCCTTTATTCTTTTTGTTTAGAATTCTCTGTCTAGAGTTATTTTTATAAATAATTCTAGACAGCGAACATATGCAGTAGACCTTCCTCCTATTATTTTCCCCACAACAACAAATCCTGTAAGATGAGTTGAGCTGAGAGAGAGTGACTGGCCCAAGATCATCCAGCTGGCTTTCATGGCTAAGGCAGGACTGGAATTCATAGTCTCCACTTTCCAGTTTGGTGTCTTAACCACTAGACCAATGTAGGAAGATTAACTAATTTTCACAAATGTTTTAGGATATTTTACAAGTAAAAAAATATTTTATATTCAACATAATTAATGGCATTCTTTTAAACACATAAGATATCTTTATTTACATACATGTTTAAATTTTTTAGCTATGGAATTGGAAGTCAGAGAAATACGTTATTCTGAAAGGACATAAAGAACCAGTCAAGAACTTTCATCTTCTGAAGCAATCAAGACTTCTTTCATGGTCATTTGATGGAACAGCTAAAGTAAATAAAAGCAATTTACTCATTATTTTAGATTAGTCCCTGTAAATTAAATATGTACTGTATTTGGTTTACAAATAATAAAGGTCATCAGATTTTGCTTGATGAATGTCCATAAGCAGCCATTTTATCAGGCTAAAAGAGGGATAAATAGGAAGAAAAGCTGTTTCATTTTATGATGGCCCTGTTTTTAAATTCTTTCTATTCTTTTAGTTTTTAATAGATTGTGTTTCTCTTTCTTCTCCCCTTTATTGTTCATTCTCTTCTTCTTCCTCCTCCCCCTCTTCCTTTGCCATTCCTACTGAACATAAGAATGAATATATATGTGTCATGTTTTTTTTCTATCTATGAAACTAATTTATGTATATACGAGCAAATGGTCAATACAGGTAGTCCTCTACTTATGATCACAATTGAGCCAAAATTTTCTATTGCTAAGTGAATTTTGTCCCATTTTACAATCATTCTTTGCTACAGTTGTTAAGTGAATCACTGCAGTCATTAGTTAATAACTTAGTTGTTAAGTGAATCTGGCTTCCCCATTGACTTTTCTTGTCAGAAGTTCACAAAAGGATGGTCACATGATCCTGGGCACTGCAACCGTCATAAATATGAATAATTTGTCAGTCATCTGAATTTTGATCACGTGATCATGGTGATGCTGTAATAGTTGTGTGAAAAAACTTTTTTCAGTACTTTTGGAACTTCAAGTGGTCATTAAATAAACTGTTGTAAGTGGAGGACTATCTGTATATGCATTTGTGAATCCATTAATTTTATAAATGAGATACCTGATTTACAGGTAATTGTTAATCACTATACCTACACACCATAATCCTGCTTTTTTGGGGGAATGTGATTGCTGAGAAAGTAAGTTTTTATAAGTTTGGGTGTGTATGTGTACATTAATACACATCTCTATATATAAAAGCCAAATCCACTCACTCATCACAAAATCTCCAGAACTGTAAAGCTTACAAACTTGAAATTTGGCTTCTAGGTGCTTGGTAAGAAAGGGTTTTTCAAAATGACAATCAGATAATTGGTATTTCTTATACAGTATTTATATATATAGATTAGCATGCTCTGATGCTAAGGAGTTGGACATTCTACTCCCCTCCCCACCTGAAAAGAATTCTGTTCCAACTCCACTTTGACGTGGGTGTGGCCAGCGTGTGACTCATCCGGCCTGTGGGCTGGCAGTTTAGACAATAGGGCCAGCCTGAGGGAGAGAACAGGATAAAATAAGAGAGGCCTCTGTGGGACAAGCCTGAGGGAGAGAAGGGGGTAGGAGAGGATCAATGGGACCAGCCTGAGGGAGAGGAGAGACTTCTGTGGGGCAAGCCTAGGGCAGAGAAGGGGATAGTAGAGGATCAATGGGGCAAGCCTGAGGGAGTGAAGGGGACAGGAGAGGCCGATCTTCACTACTCATTAATTTTCAAGCTGTAAGTGTCAATTTATCAAACCTAATCACATAGTTTCGTAGCAGAGCATGGGTATCCAGCTAGTATAGACATATGTCCCAATATTTATTTGTGAAAGTTGAGATCTTCAGGATTTGTTTTATCCGGAGCTGAACATTTCATTTGATTCATTCATGAAGACATACCCTTCCATTTTGGGAAAGGAATCAACTTAAATTCAGGGTCCTCTTCCTTTTGCATAAGCATCTGTCTGTCTTGCTTACCAATCACGTACAACCAGCATTCATCACTGGTGTATTTTACTATATTTCTCAGGTCTGGAATATACTTACTGGAGAACTAGAAAAAGATCTTACTTGCCATGAAGATGCTGTTCTTTCTTGTGCTGTTTCACCTGATGCCACTATATTTTCCACTACCTCTGCTGACAAAACTGCCAAGGTTAGTAGTGAGTGTTTGATCTGTATTAAAAGAAAAGAACAGCTATATAATTAAATCACTACTTATTTATTTATACATCAAGAGTTATAAATAGTTTCAGGTGTATCTGAACCTCAGCCATGTAAGGAGGAATCAGTTTTTTTTTTGCCAGAGGCTGATGGAGCTTCAGTATTCTATCTTTTATACCCTTTCCTTTTTACATGCTATTTACATGATATTTCATTCATGAGCATATAACATGAAATAGTACCATTGTCTCTTCCAAATTGTAAAATATTTTTCTACTAGACAGACTCTTCTGGAGTCATCAGTTTGATTTTTTTAAGTAAAATTATATATATATATATATATATATATATATA